AAGTCAATACCTAACTCTTTGCATTGGCTGTACACGTTTGAATTGAATTATCTTGGTCGTTAGGCGGCCAATGTTGTGGAATTTCAAACCTTGCTTCTATAATTTATATTTGGAAGTAAAGTAAATACAGGCTTTAATATTCAGAAAGAAGATCATAAAGGATCTTTGTGCTGCTTAAAATCCACAAAGTACGATATAAGATTTGGAACCACTCACGTTTGTCCACCTGTCAATCACCATTCGATTTCTCCAACAAGGACGCTGACGTCATTATTCACCACTTAACTTCAAAAGGCTTTCGGGAGCGGTCTTAGAATAAGGTTTCTTCTTCGCGGACTCTCTCTCTGGCAGCGGCCCCTTCATCGGCTCGCCCCTTTCGCTTCACGACAATTCCCAATTTATTTTAATTTCTTTTTCACATCCATATTCATTAGATTAATTACTAATAAATAAATTATTCGATATAATTTCTTCTATATATAAATATTAGTAGTTTTCTGGAGATTGATCTCTTGATTTTGCGTGAATATGGATTGTGAAATGAAGAAAATTTCTTACGATGGGATTGTCGTTAATGGCAAAAACGAGGGCGTTTTCGGCTCACCTGCCAGGAGGATGAAGCTCATTATCGATACTGACCCCGGAATCGGTCAGTTTCTTTCCTTTTTATAATGTGTTTTTTTTAATTGCTGGTTGGAAATGAATTTAGCATGTTAAGTTCTATAAAGAAGAATTATGGAATTGGAATTTCTTGTGTTCGTTTTCTCGTTTTAGAGTTGCGCTTGTATTTTAGAAAAGCTCTAAAAATTGATGAAAAAAGTTTTATTTATTTTTATTTTTTTGATAAGCAAAATTTCCAATATCCAAAGGAGGAGAATGACCTGCAACCAAGAGAAGATGAAAGAAAAAGTTTAAATTTTAGTTAATAATTTTATTTGTTCCTTTGTTTGACTTGTTATAAAAGAGACTATAGTTGTTTGCTTGTGTAGGAGCATAAATTTTTGAGCTAAGTGGTGAAAAAGAAAAAAAATGAAAACGTTAAAGCCGTTTTCAGGTTGAAACTCTAGCCTTTAGGTTCTAGTAGTGAATGAATACTGATTCCATTTAGAGGGGAGTTGGAGATCTGTATAGGGAGCTCTGTTTTCGCTAGATTGGTATGGAGAATCCTCTCGTGAAGCTATATAAAGAAGTGAAAAGAACACTTGGAAAAGAATGTGAAGGGCTGTTGGGGACAGAACGTGAGGTTGATTGGTTGGCATGTTTAGTTATGATGGCGTGGTTGAGTTTAGAAGATTGTTTTTGTAATGAATAGACTGAGGTTTCTATTCCCTATGTTAGATTGAAATGAATCGTGAAGATCCTCTGTAAGATATGAATGTGTTCTCTATTTGATTAATAGATGATAGTATGGCAATCTTAATGGCATTCCAAAGTCCGGAGTTGGAGATCTTAGGTTTGACGACAGTATTTGGTAATGTTGCTACAGAAGATGCCACCCGTAATGCCTTACTTCTGGTACGTGCTTGTTTGTTGATTTGAAATTTTTATATTTTCTAGGCTATATCTTTTAGGTTTTGATATGTTTATGGAATATGTTCATGATCATTTCCTCTTTTTGAGGTGCAAAGGATAGTGTGAGATCGCAGGGTGTCCAGATGTTCCTGTAGCAGAAGGCAGTCCCGAACCTCTTAAGGTAAATGTTTAGGTATTCTCTAGCATATTCTGCATCCATTTCCCAAATTAGATTGTAATTGCACTGAAAATGATTCATTTTTCCCTCTTTTTTTTTTTTTTTTTTTTGTGTTTGTAGCATGGGGCAATCACCTTGCTCTTGCTAGTTGAATTACCTTTGTATATCACTCTTATTTATTTTGCTTTCTTATTCTTTTTCTGGGCATTGTGATATCCTTTATTTAATTTAGCCTAACCATGGTCTCTTTGGAAAAGGGTGGGAGGCCACGTGTCGCTGACTTTGTTCATGGTTCTGATGGACTGGGGAACATATTTCTACCTCCTCCAAAAACAAAGAAATCTGAGAAGAGTGCCTCTGAATTTTTAGTTGAAAAGGTCTCTAAATATCCTGGGGAAGTATCCATACTTGCACTTGGACCGCTGACAAACTTGGCTTTGGTAAGTCTCTGCATTGTTTCTTATCGATTTCCTCTTTTGTTGTTATTGATTCCAGGCCTAAGAACTATGTGCCTAAACATGGTTATATACCCAGGCAATCAAAAGGGACTCAACCTTTGCTAGCAAGGTGAAAAATATAATTGTACTTGGTGGTGCATTCTTTGCATTAGGAAATGTGAATCCTGCTGCTGAGGCAAATGTAAGTACAGACACTCCTAGTTTTATGTTTTTATGATGAGGAACGGAATGTCATTCTTCTTTTTGAAAAGTTCCTTCTTTATGGTAACTTCTTAGTTTGCAGGGAGAAACTACAAGTTTTTAAAGTTGAGGCCCTGTAGGTGAAGGTTTCTTGATTGAATCTCCATCTTGATTTGTTACCTCTTTGATGTTATTTACTTTTTAGTTCTAGCAATGTGCCTTTACACATAGTTTTATTACATTTTGGGGTGAACTTCCTTTCAGTTGAAAAACTCATCTAATTTCTTTTGCTTGCTTAAAATCATTATTATACCGTCTTCTCTTTTTCTTGGCAACCACGTTATCTCATTGTTCATTCCAAGAGTGAACTGTGGTTGCAGCTGGCTGGTCAGTGAAGAAAATTAGTTTTATCTTGAACAAAGTTTAGTTGTTGACTATCCATTAAGAAGTCATTCACAATTTGTTTGTCTGACTACAGATTTATGGGGACCCTGAAGCAGCTGATGTTGTGTTTACTTCGGGGGCAAATATTGTTGTTGTTGGGATTAACATTACTACCCAAGTCAAAATGACAGGTAGGAACTTAATTGTCATTTCTCTTTGCAAACAAGCTTCTTTTGCATGTTTATTTGAGCTAGTCTTCTTGACAAAGATAATTGTCTTGTCTGTTAGATGATGACCTCCTCGAGCTGAAACAATCAAAGGGAAAGCATGCTCAGCTGCTGAGTAACATGTGCAAATTCTACAGAGATTGGCATGTGAAGTCTGACGGTGTATATGGTAATCTTTTGCAATTTTAAATTAGTATAAACTAAATTTCATCTTTTCTTTTCACCTCCAGAATCTTGCTCTGAGTCTTATCATAAGGGAATAACTCTGAAAATTTTGGTTCCAGGGATATTTCTTCATGACCCTGTCAGTTTTGTGGCTCTAGTTCGGCCAGATCTCTTCACATACAAGAAGGGGGTTGTGAGGGTTGAGACGCAGGGCATATGTGTGGGGCATACATTGTTGGATCAAGGATTAAAAAGGTATTCCAAAACAAGCATGCTGATTATCGAATTTAAATAGATTTGCAGTTATTGTTGCTAACATTTATGCCATATTTTGGTGCAGATGGAATGGAAGCAACCCATGGACAGGCTATTCCCCAGTTTCTGTCGCTTGGACAGTCAATGTGGATGAAGTCCTTAAGTATATTAAGAAACTGTTGATGAAACCATAAAAGCTGAAAATAGGACTTGATATTATGAAAGATGTCAAGAACCCAAACTTGGGATTGGATTGCCTTTGGTTTCCGCTAAAAGGCCCATTGTAATGTATACTCTTCATTCTACCCAAATTTGGGTTTAAAGAGCTCATAATTGTTTCCATATTGATGGATCTCTTATTTATTGAAAAAAACAATCACTATGATGATCCTCAACTAATAAGAAATATTGTAAATGATGCTTTATCTTAAACATGTAATGTTAATGTGGGGGTCTTTCTACTAACCCTTAAGTGCGTTGCAGCAACACAATAGCTTAACTTAAAAATATAGGAATTGTCATCACCAGAATGTTAAGGTTGTTTGATCGTCTATCTGTCCATGTTAGAGTGGTTAGACATGACATCATACTGATCTTCATCTCGTTTAATTCTGAAACTCAGCCCATTTTGTTTTCCTGAGAGGTTAAATGGGTTTCTATTGTCTCTCTAAAAATACGAAAGCTCTCTTCCAGGTAAATTCAGACTTGGAGCCCATGCCCACGAACTTTAGTTCCAAATTTTGACAGGACCCAAAATAAATGATTAAAGGAAGAAGAAGAAGAAGTGCATGGGCTTTATTCAGCAGAGAAAGCAATTGATCTGAGTGATGACTAACAAGAAGGATGATTTGCATCTTGTGAAAAAGGTTAGATGGGTAGTTTATGCAGTTACAATTGCCAACGAGTCTACCGCTGATTCTTTCTACAAATGTACGTGGACTATCGGGCTCTTGGCAGCTGCAAGCTTTCCCTAACTGCGGAGTGGAATCCACAGTAAAATTTAGGCGGCCATGCCTGTGAATGCATGTGATCTCACATGTTTTCTCTCTGATATCACCTTTTTATTTTTCTTGCCAGTTACCAAGTTCGTTGAAAACAATATTGTGATAGCCAAACAAAGATAACTTTTTAGAAAAAGAGAATGCGGATGGTGGGTTGATTATCCATAGTTTGGCGGGGGAAGGTTTTGAGTTTTGAGTCTTGAATTCATGTTCAAATATTTTCTTCCTCTACTTAATGCATTCCTCAGAACTGTTTCTAGCCACTTCTAATTTGAAGGCTAAACAGTCAGCAATTGATTTCAGTCCATCTCTTTGCGAATGCAAACGCGTCAATCTTTGAAGTTCACCTGGGATTTCAACATCACGAAACCGACCTCCTCATCTATTTGATGCAACTGCTAGGCCCTAGCTTTGCCAAGGTCAACCTTAGCATTCATGATTCATGAATCAAGTTAGGGACTCATGCTTAAAGTCAACTTTATTTTCTATCCATAAGCTAAGCTCTATATTTATCCCAAACGAACCCAAAGCAACTAAAGAAGCAAGGTCAAAACCAGTGACGAAAGCACTTTTAATAAAAGCAGTTAAACTAACTCTTTTTCTGCGCAAACTTCTTTATATTTCTTTCCCTTAAGGCAGTCAACTACCACAATGAGAGAACCGTCTCAACTCCCGCCAGACACTGCACCCACTCCAACCACCTATAGAAAACGAACCCATCTTCTCAATCTTATTAAGAACTCCAAAATTCTCTCTAACATATCATTTCAAGAACCCTGGAATAAGTGGAAGCCCTAAACCATTAGACAGAAGCAAAAAGAAAATAGAAAATGATGGGGCGAGTTTCTTCGACAACTGCAATGGCGGAGAAGCTTTCCTGGTACTGTGCTTTGTTCATGGCAGTGATGCTGGTATTGAGCTGCTGTGAATCGAGTGAAAGGGAATTCAGAGGCGAGGTGCTGCGTCAGCAGAAGGATTTGATGATGAACAAGCCATGCGATGAAATTTACGTGGTTCGGGAAGGAGAGACTTTGCAGACTATCAGTGAAAAATGTGGGGATCCTTATATTGTTGAAGAGAATCCTCATATACATGACCCAGATGATGTTTTCCCTGGCCTTGTCATCAAGATTACTCCTTTCAAGAACAGGTAAAAAATTACTAGAATGAATCCTTCATTGCTCAAGATAGATATATATATTTGTATTCTGGCCCACAAAATTAAAAGAAAAAAGAAGTAAAGAAAAAGATTGAGGCGTATATCTAGATTGGCCAGGAAATATTTAATATTGACAGGGCAAGTGATTGTTATAATTTGCAGTTTTTAAGAAATTTCTTTGAGAGACTGCTTAATTAAAAGAAAAGAATCAATTGTACTTTGACACAGAAGAGGTGATAGGATTTGAAGTAGTATTCATTTCAAAGAAACAAGTATTTTGGCATAGTTTAGTGCACTAGTTTTGTAAAATTTCTATCGAAATATTATTGTGTTTAGATGGAGTTTAATTAGGGAAGGTCCTTTTACGATGGAACAACTTGTTTAATTATATGGTTAGAAAGTATTCTCTTCTGAAGGCGGGGATATCCACACATTTGATCCTTAATAATATTCTAGGTGTTTGTCATTAATTGGAAAATTACAGCAACCCATCCCAAGTGCCATTATCAAAATCAATCCACAATAAGAAGCAAGTAAATGTCAGGTTTCGTTTTGGAAATGCATATTGTAAAGATAAAATTCCAATTTTAAAAATGAAATAGTAAAAGAACATTTCAATAACCAATCAAATAACTGACTAAAATGATTATAAATCTAATAAAAAGACGTAACCATCCGTAGAATATGCCACCATAATAACTTTTCCCAAATCCAATGGGAAACTGGTTCCGCAAAGTATTAAGCAATTTCAATCCAAGCTCAAGCAACCAAAAGAATTATTGGGCTTTCCTAACGTTGCAAAAAGTGGTCGCACGTAGGCCATGTTTAACATTTTATAGCCATTCAGATTTTAAGTTCATCTTCCACGAGGTTGGACATGGGCCGGGCTGCCGAGGTGGTTCCCAATAGCGAGCCCAACCAACCCAAGCCTCAGAAGCATCGTACCTTTAAAACAAGTTACTTAATATAAATATACATATAAATGTCCATTATATTACATTTTAAAAGTTTAGATTAAGTCAAACAATTTAACAAATAATAGCCCAAACAGGGCATGCAACCCAAATAGGTCAAATAGTCTAACAAGTAAACACATAAGTGTAATCTGATTTGAACTCTTAAATTTGATTATATATATTTAAATTTAAATGTAAATTAGATTAGACTAAGATTATAATTTATTTTGAACATTATCTATCCAAATTAAATCTTTCATATTATATTTATCTTGTAAATTCTATTTATGTAAAGATTATTAACCTATAAATACACTTTCACTTCGTACTTGTCTTTTACGTTATATTTTACAACACATTATCAGTATGATTCTCTAATCTCTCAAGTTTTGGTATCATTTAGTTTTCATCATCATCTTAGAGCATGTTTGACTTAGTTTTTTCTTAACTTAAAAGCTATTATAAAGCTCTTATGAAAACTAATAGCTTTTAGAATTAAATTAAAGCGGTTTGGCAATTTACTTTTTATAAGTTCTTTTTTATATAAAACAACTTATATAAACTCTAATTTTAATTAAACTTACCATAAAGAGTATTTAATAAATTACTAGAACTCTTAACCCTAACAATGGAGGAGAACCCAGAAAAGAAGAAGAGAAGTCTAAGGTGGTAGTAATAATTCAGGAAAATCACGTTTCTATGAACAATATTATCTCAACAACTTTAATCAACAAGTATTATCTTAATTTTCATCTAATTTATTTTAGCAACCATTTACCTATTTGATTAATTATTTCAATCAAATCATCAAATATTATATACACTATAAAGAATTTAAAAATAAATAAACATCACATAATTGTTATATTAAATAATAAACTGAGAAATGTCAACTAATAAAAAGAGTTTTCAAAGTTAAAAAAAATAATAAAAAATAAAATTAAAAAAAAAACCTGAATGCAGTTTTGAATTTTAGATTTTTTTTTTATTTTTGTAAGAACCAAAAAAACCCTAGAATGATGATTTGCATAAAGGGAGAGAGGAGATGGAGATCGATATAGAGAGAAGGAGAGAGTATTTTTTGAGAGGGGATCTTTTTGGGAAACAATAGCTTTCCTAATAAACTAGTATGTTTTTTGAAAAAAAAAAAAAGAGAGAAGAAAGCTTCTAATTGAAACTTTTTTTTAAGCTTTTTTTTTTAGATTTTATTTTTTAAAAAAAGTTATTTTTTAAAAAAAATTTTTACGAAATCCTATTTGGTCCAACTTCTGCTTTAAGTAGTAAATAATCTAAAAATAAATCAAGCCAAATGAGCACTTAAAGTAGAAGTTCCTTTTAGTTTTCATCATCATCATCATCATTGCTTCAAAAGGATTTCCATGATTAGTTTTTTATTTTTGATTTTAACAAATTAGGTAAGTGATTTAATATCTCTGTGTTGTTTTCAGCACTTGAAAATTAGCCTTAATGACAATTTGCTATTATGCATTATGTATCATATTTTGTCCCTTGATTTATTAAATTAGATTAAGCAAGCAAATATATATAATCATATATGATCTCTTTGTTTTGGTTTTGGAATATGATTTGCTCAAAACTTTATTTCTTTGTTTTGAATTTTGAATATGATTATGCTTAGTTTATGTAAATTTGTTTTTGATACTATGAGATTTTACATAAAACATTTTGAATTGAACATTTGAAATTGACTTTGTTTGATATTTGTTTCGTAATAAGTAGATAAATAATGCATTCTATAATCTATTAAATTTGAAAATACATTTCGACCATCATAAAAGAGTAATTCTTTCAAAAACTCGTTATGATTGGATACATTTATGATTACAAGATTTTAAAACTATAAACGAATATAACTCAATATTATTTAGAATCAATTATTAACTAAATTGTGTGGAGTCGATACTTGTTGTCTAGAATATCTTGAGAAACATTCTTTGTGAAAAGTATCACTATCTAAAAGAAAGGATTAGATACTTGTGGTCTAAAATGTCTTGGGAAGCATTTTGTATGAAAGTATTAGTACATATAAGCAAGGTCGACCTTAGATAAAGCCACCCAAGCAAGGGCTTTAGGCTTCAAATTTGAAGAAGTCTCATAATTTTATAATAATTATAATATAATTAATAATATTAAAAATATATAAAAATTAGGATAATCAATTACCTATTTTCTCATGCTCAATAAATATCTATTTTCTCTCATTTCTATGTCCCTATTAATCCTCAACTACTTATCTTATTTCCCATTAAAAATATTTAAAAGTAAAAAATAATTAATAAAATAACATTATAAAAAAATAAGTTTTTTCTGACAATATTTTTTATTGAAAAAAGTTAAAATTCCATTGAAAATGTTTTTTTTTGACGGATTTCTAATGAAACAATCAGTTGAAAATTTTATCGATAAAAGCATCATCGGAAATACTTTCTGTTGGAAATCCATCGAAAATTTCCAACGAAAAATTTCGTCTAAAAATTCTGTTAGAAAACGTATATAATTTGTCGGCTGTTTCGTATCATTTTTGTTGGAAATGCTTTTCCAATAGAATTTTCCGTTGGATAAGCATTTCCAATAGAATTTCATAAGAATTTTTAACAAAATTTTCATTCGAAATTTTCAATAGAATTTTTTATAAAAAAAAAATTTTTTTTGGATAAAATTTTAATACTTTTTCTTTTTTTTATTTCTTAATAAAATTTTAATATTCCAAAAAATTAGTTATCCTTACTCTTAATTTTTGGAGTTATGGTGGTTATATTTTAGTGGGTAAAAGTATCCATCTATTTTTAGTGATTAAATGCATTCTTAGAAAAATGATTAGAATAACCACCATGATTGCAATTATTATGATGACTTTTTTCACATCTATAACCATAATTCTTAAATTATATCGTATTCACTTCGAAGAATGGGCAAAGTTTATGATTTTCATTAGTAGCTTGTTATTTTATTCAATCACAAAAAAATATGAAATCCAAAACAAAATGCATTTCAAATTACTCAAAGCATAATATTTTTCACTTGTTACAAAATAGATATCATACAAAGTCAATTTCAAATGTCTAATTCAAAATGTCTTATACAAAATTTCATAGTATCAAAGATAGATTTACATATGTTAAGCAAAATTATAATTAGAATTCAACAAAAAAAATCATATATTAAGAAAATCATTTTCCAAAATTAAAACAAAGATATCATGTATAATTTTACATATTTTTATGCTCAATTTGATTTAACAAGACAAAATATGATAAACACTGCATGATAGCAAATTCATGTCAAAATTATTTTCAAGGATGAAAACTTTGAAGAAATATTAAGTCACTTACCTATTTGCTAAAATAAAAAATGACAAAAAAAAAATCAACTATAGAAATCCTTTTGAAGCTTGAAAGAATTGAAACTTTAACTTTGAGATGATGATGAAAACCAAATAACACTAAAACTTGAAAGATTAGAGAATTGTGTTGATAATATATTATGAAATAACCTTAAAAGAAAAGAAAAAAATTAAAAAAGTAAGAAAGATCTTATTCAAGTGTATATTTACAAATAAAGTGAATTACTTATTTATAAGCTAATGACCTTTTTTACAATAAAGTGAAGGATTTATTTATAAGCCAATAACTCTTTAAATCCTAATTTTAATCTAATTTAATTTATATCCAAATCTAGATATATATGTTCAAAATCTAAGAGTTCAAATCATATTATATTTATTGTGTCTAACGGTTACATTGTTTGACTTGATTTGAACTTGTTGGATCATAAAATAATGAACATTTTCACAAATATTCATAACAATTAAAAATTATTTCTAACAAAATATTTCATTAGAAATGTACATCTAAAAAATCTCGCTTGGCGTGAAAATTTCACTTGGTGTCAAAGTTTTCTGGATGAAAAATTTTTCTTAAATGAATGTAAAAAATTTATTGACAATAAATTCAAAATTCATAACATTATTCCATTTGGAATAAGATAGTATTACTCGTGGATATTTTTCAATTAAAAAAGTTCCGTTAAATCATTTGACTTTCGTATAATATTTCTGCCTTAATTGTAACGTTAGCTTGAGCGCTAACTTGAAAAAACTAAATGAAAACTAAGATTTAAAAAAAAAAAAAAACCTTGGGTTATAGAGGACACTCTATCTCATGTAGACCTTGACCAATTCTATATTGCAAGTCAAAATTTAAATTATAGAAAGCGCTGCATCCACACGCATTTCCATTGAATTCATTTATCTTTAAAAAGACCTACACTTTAAAAGGCAAGGGCAATTGAACAAAGTCAAGTTAAATTATTGCATATAATTTTCCTCTCCAATGATAATAGTACAAAGCTCAATTTGCATCCTAAAACGATCATTTTCCTTCATTTTTTTTTCTTAAATTTCAACGAAATTTGCTAGTGACAATTGTTTGCTGCAAATATGGAGCAAGTTGATTTATTTTATTTTATATTTTTGAGTACTTTTAAGGTCAATTTAGAGCAAGTTATTTCATTTTATTTTATTTTTCCGTCTCCAATGAGTGCTTTAAACTATGTTATTGGACACGAACACGTGTTTGCAGTATTGCTATAATGTTCAGCCGCCCTCGTTGAAATCAGTTGTGTTGGTGTATAAATTCTGACCTTTTAAACTCTTCCTGGTAATCATTAAAGTATACCATTTTAATTCTTTTTCTCTGGTTTTAATTGGGTGCTTAGAGAGTTAGAATTCCACATATGAAATAGACAGAGCAGGCATTTCTGATTGATTAAACCTTCATTAATTATATTCAACAAAGAAAATCAAAATAGGGGTTGGGTCAACATAAATTAATTTCTAAACTACAAGGAATGTCGTTCCGTTTGACTGAAGACGAGGAAAAATACATGTGGAAGGCATGCTGTTGATGAACCAGAATGAGTCCTCGAAGGGGAAGAAAGAAAAAGTACAATATAAAGAAGGAAAAACATAACTTCTTACCATGCGAGGCCACATCCCTCTTAACCATGCCATTTTTTAAAGATATACAATACATAAGTCCATAATCAGATTCAAGGACAACTCAATAATCTCAAAGATTTAAAATTAAATATTCAAATAAAATTTTTATTTTAAATTAAGAAAATAAGACTATTTTTTTTATTGAAGTTAAGGAAGAAAGAGAAAATGAGGAAACAAAAATTTATAGGTGAATATTATAAATAGAGAAAAAAATCGTATTATATATAAAAAAATAGTTGTTGTACATAACATTGTAAGAATTAAGAAGCATAGAATTTGAGATTTATTAAGCACATAATTAAAAAAATAAAAAATATATCATTTTATTAATTATCTTAATCTTTACATATTTTTAATGAAAATTGATATAAATAGTTAAAAATTAATAGAGATGTAGGAAGTGAGAGATAATAGATATTTTATTAAGCATGAGAAAATATGTAAATATTTAATTAATTATATTAATTTTTATATATTTTTAATATAATTAATTATATTATTACAAATTATGGGACCTAAAGCAATAATATAATTAATTATATTATTACAAATTATGAGACCTAAAGCAAGGGTTTACTGGCTTTATCCTAAAGCCGGCCTTGATCAGATTGTCACAAACGCAAAAGGCAGTAGTTAAGTAGATTATATGAGTGTGTTTGCCATCCAATTGGTACGGGATTCTAGTTTTTTAACATTAATTTTAGCTTATTTACTGAAATTTATTAATAAAATAACTTTTTTATTTTAAGAAAAAAATATAAAATTAATTTAAAATATTATTTGTTTAGGTTTAGATAATTTCAATTTGAACTGAAATCAAAATATATATATTAAAAATTCAAATTACTCCGAACTTAATATTGCGATTCAAATCAAAGTTTTCTTGATTTTTTTCTTAACCCTATTCACAATACACTGCCATCAATGTAAAGCAAATTAGCAATCATGTTGCATTAATCTAAATTAGGTCTATAACCTCCATATAACTTAATTAGGTAGGTGATTGGGACAATTAGGTGGCACAAATATAGAATGTCCAATTAATTTTCCTAAGATTACCCGGTTTTAGGAGAATTGAATTTAAACTTTAATTATTCATTAAAGCAGAATAAATTACTAAATCAGATCAGGATTATTCCGCTATACTCTGTAAAGGAACCACGTGCGTTATGTTAAAATCAAGACTCATCAAAGCATACTAGAAACTTCATTAATGGAGGCCATACAATCCCACTGGAATTAAACTTTTCAGGGTTGTCTTCATGTTGATTTGGTATACAATAGTGTCTTTAAAAGTTTTCTTCAATAATTTTACTTGGTCCTATAATTAGTAATAAAAAACAGGAGATAAAACTTTCCTTTCCGTGTCTGCCTCTTTCCCTATTTTCAGTCACTCACTTTTTAAAATTTGACCAGCTGGTGGGCTCTCTTCACCGCTTAACTTAACTGGAAGCTTACGTCCACCATATAAATTGTTGAGATTCTTCGTTATCCTCCAAATATCCTTCCAAGCTTAAGCACTTGGCACCCTTCCCTCTCTATTTGCAAAGTTTTCTTTGTCTAGCAGTTCGCTCCTGATTAATGGACACTCAGAACTTACTCTTCTCCTTGTTCTGTTTCTTTCTCCTTTCTCTTTTCTCAGGTAAGAGAAAACGAACTCCATTTCTTTCTGCCCCATGCCTGGCCTTTCACTGCAAGAAATTTGTAATCGTCTTCATATAATTGTAGGTCAACAACAAATTGTTGAGGGTTCAAGGGTGTCTCCGTTCGCTTTCAGACCCCAGAAGCTCTTTGTGTTTGGAGATTCCTATGCTGATACAGGGAATAACAGGAAAGCTTTAGCAAGTTCCTGGAAATTTCCTTATGGAATTACGTTTCCTGGGAAACCAGCTGGCCGTTTCTCTGATGGGCGTGTCTTGACTGATTACGTTGGTACACCTCGCTCTCTCTTTCTAATGAGTAATGATAGCGTTTTTCGTTTTCTGCTTTAGCTTCAGCTCTTTCTTTTCGGTACGAGTAATGGGGTTGCTTGCTTTAGTTCCTGCTCATATTAAATAATATATTAAAATGAGTGGTGGGTTCCTCTTCACTCCAAGCTTGTCACTTTTCCTCTTCGTGATAATTACTACCGAGCTGAGTTGCCGCTCTCCCTTTCGGCACCTGTTCATTTTGCATTGTAGGGGTTCATCTTTCTGTTCTCTTGTCAGACCATCATCTATCTTTTCCTTCTTGTCCGACCATTTTCACGTGATTTGAAGTTTTGTACACTTTTGTTCTTTACCATTATTTAACATTAATCATTCTTTTCAGTGCTTCCATGCTTTATCACGAAATACCCTCTTAAAATGCGTCTACGAATCCTTTTCTTCATTTTCTTATTCCCATTTCGATTAAGTACTTAAGGAAGGAGAGGATAATTGTAATGATTTACACCTTTAACCCTTGTTTCATTTTAGTTTAGGAACCACAGTGTCAAAACCTCAAACGCTATGCAAAGTAACAAACAACTCAAAAAGAAAAAACAAATGATCAGCTGTGGCAGCATTTCTTCTCCATAAAGATCTCAAATATAAAGCTACTTTATCTTTTTCTTTATGTTTAGTTCCTAATCTCCTAAAGTTTACTGTTAGTGCTTTCCAATCAAAGCAGCACTATAGTGACACAACAAGATCAACAACCCCCTTTGGAATTCACTTATTCTAACCACTCAATCATTTAACAAAAACAACATTTTTTTATTACCGAAAAAAGTCATGCCTTGTTTCTTGACAAGCAGCCGGCTATTTGGGAATCAAGACACCCATACCATACAGGTGGAGGAAAGAGCTGGCTGGTCGCCTTAAGTATGGAGTGAACTTTGCTTATGGAGGCACGGGTGTTTTTGACACGTTGGTTCAGGAGCCAAACATGACCACCCAGATCGATTTCTTTCAACAGCTCCTCAATGACTCGGTCTACACCAAGCGGGGCTTGAAAACTTCTGTCGCACTTGTCAGCGTTGCAGGCAATGACTATTCAGCTTACATTGCCAGGAACGGTTCTGCTGCGGTAATAAAAATTATCTGTTTTTCTTGAACACTTTATATATATCCCGTAGTGTTCATTTTGTCAGGCACAAGTCAGTGTTCTATAGATGGTGACAGGCATTGAATATGTTCACTAATTGCAATATGAAATTGTTAATGGTCCCTTTAATTTTATGCCTGGTCCTATAAATCTGGTAATCAATGTTTGTTGAACCCACTTGAAATGACACTTGCTCTACCACATAATGACCCGATTAATAGTTAATTGCCAAAAACAAAACACCTAGTATTTTTTTTTTAAATTGATGAAAGGGACCAATAGTTGTCTGCCATGTAGGTATTTTAGAAAGTAACCTATATAGAAAACTGTTGTCGTACTGTCCAAGTGCAATATCTCGTTCCTACTAGCTTTTATGGGCTGTTTATTTTCTGGCGTGGTCTTAGAGAAAATCTGAGCCGTCCAACTGACACGTCATTTTCTCTTTGGCCAACCCGTGCATCTTGTACCTCTAGTTCAGACTAAATATCTTTGTTACAGTGAACTAGGGTGCCCCTGCCCAATGCTGCTCGATCGGTATATGATTATAAAAGGACAAGAGTTATAAAAGGAGATGTCATGCTCTTTGGTAGTACAAAAATTGGACTCTATATTAGCACTTAGCAAACATTTAAGTCCTGCTTATATTTGTTCTTCGTGGTGTCTCAATATTATGTACGGTCAGGTAGATCTTAAAGATATCAAGGTCTCTTTCTCTTGTTCTTATTATTGTATGTATGCATGCAAAGAAAAGGAAGAAGAGTTACCAAGGATTTTGAGATTCGGTGAATGATGAGTTTATTTGCTCTTATAACGGAGCGCAAGCCGTAATGTCATAAGCTTTAATGAAAATATTGTCCCTATTATTTGTTTATTGCAAGGAAGCTAATACTGGGTCATCAAGATAAGTAATTAAAACCGATCAGAATGTATGAAAATCAACAAAATAGGAGGTACGGAATGAGAAATTGGCTAAAATGTACTGTTTGCTGACAGGGTTTTCCAGCTTTCATCGGAAGCGTTGTGAGTCAACTTACGGTGAACTTGAAACGCATCCATGGCTTGGGAGTGAGGAAAATAGCCGTCAGTGCCCTGCAACCATTGGGATGCCTCCCTCAAAGCACCGCCCAATTCTCCTTTGAACAATGCAATGCAACAGAAAACACCCTTGTTAATCTCCACAACCAGCTGCTGGTTCAAGCTGTGAACAATTTGAACAAACAAACCAACAGCACCTCTTTCATTGTTCTTGATCTTTATGATGCCTTTTGGACCGTTTTCAATCAGAAAGAAGCTCATCAAGGTTATGATATATGCAATCTTCACTTTGATCCATTTTTACTCAAAACTACCAAAATGATCTTTTGCTTTTGCTAACTAATTTCTACATATATTTCTTTTTGCAGTAAGTCCGACATTTGAGAACCCATTTCAACCATGCTGTGTTGGGGTGACTGCTGGATTTTCATGTGGAAGTGTAGACGAACATGGGGTAAAGAAGTACACACTTTGCTCAAATCCTAAATCAACATTCTTTTGGGATACAGTTCACCCTACACAGGAAGGATGGCAGGCTGTATATTCAACTCCAGCTTTTCAAAACAGCCTCAAGCAACTGTGATAGGAATTACCATGGAATGGATTAATAATGTTTGGGAGTTGTAACTTTGTAATGCTTTACATTTTGTTTCAGGTGTATGTGGAATTCCCTGTTATCTCTTTATTCATTTGTTTAGTACTTTTCCTATTGATGTAATCTTGGCTTGAGGTTAGAGTAAAATTGTATGAAAGCAATAACGAAAGTTCTTCCCCAGAACCTCTGGTCGAACAAGAGTCTAGACCCTAATATCCTGGCCCAATCTCCAACTTTTCGAGCTTAAACTATGTTCTCCCATAGTACCTTTGGGTGAAGCACAATATGACAGTCCACAACGAATTAGTGCACGTCTTGATACTAATTGTAATGATTTGAGTCTAAATATCATTAGGTCAATAATTTTTTGAGTTTAATTTATGTGATTTTCAAAAATTTATATTCAAGTTGTTAATATTGATTGACTCTAATTTTTATATAAATTTTATTAATCACATTAATCTTGGATGTGGGAGGGCGTTTAACGCCACACTTGAGTAGATCTCATTGGTAGTAAGTTTCCAAGGTAAAAATTTATTTTAGAGGTGAAAATAAATACTTAAAAATTAGAAAGTAGGTTTTGACGAAAAGAACAATTTCGTGGCTACTTTCTACAATGAGCATATATGGGCCGACCTATTGTTTTCATTTTTCTTTAAGCATTTTTATATGATATTCTTTTAGCTCATGCATTCTATTTTTTAAGGAAGTAATACTCAAATTCAATATAGATTGGGTCCGTTTGGGTTTCACAAAAGTTTCTAAGTCCAAGAACCTTGGCCCATCCCAAAGTCGCAAACCATTTAGAAGTCAACAATTAAAGCATTGGGGTGATGGACATGTAGGCCCAAAGGCCCCTGACAAAAGTGATTTAGACAGAGACCCATGGCCGTCAAATGAATCTTATCCTCTTTCATTTTTCTATTTTCGCTGTTTATTCCTTAATCGAATAATTATTTTCCAACTGATAATCACAGGATGAACTAACATGAATTTTTATAATAAAAAAAGAGAAAAAAAATGAAAAAGAAAAACATTAATTTTACCGCTTAAACTTAACTAAAGTGATAATTAAGGGTATGATAGAATTACCTCTGGTCCCCTTCCCCTTTATTTTGGGAGCCTGTCACATTCGGGACCATTCGATAAAAAAAAAAGAAAAAGGGACAACTGAATTTGCCTACTTAATTGCATTTGCCTACTGGTTGTGTTTTATAACATGACATAAAATAGATTGTTCATCTTAAAGGATATAACCGTTGTTTCTGTGGATTTAGAGTGTTATACTTAAAATTTATCTTTCATTAAACCTAATAAAAATAGTTAAAAAAAATAAAACCATACGTTTAAAATGGTATGATACTAAAGCAACAATGTTGGTTTATATATTTATTTATATATTTATCAATGAATATGTAAAAGTAATTAACTGGTAAAAAAAAAAGTCGTGGCAAATATTACTGTAGCTATCTTGTTAAAGATTTCCTTTTCCCTTAGAAATTAGATATTAGTTTGATCCTTTATATAGAGAAGAGGCAATAATTTATAAAAGGTGAGGGGTCACTTTCTATATGAATAGATGGTTCATGATTTCACCAACCAAATGTAATGGTTAATGGAATGATGATGTCATTTTGATGTACGAGGACATTTAAGCCAAAAAGAAAGAAAGAAAGAAATGAATCACTGGTATTTGCTTCTCCCTCCTGGCACCATGTTGCAAGATCATTCTCTCTTTTCTAGTGTAGGTACATTCTTTAGCTTTATTTTTTTTTAATTTCTACTCAGTTTTATTTTCTTTCAAAGTCATTATAAATTTCTATTTCATATTTACTATTTTTTTTGATGGAATAATTTTAAGTATTCAAGTTGATGTTACCTCGATTGGAAATTAAATTCCACTTAAATAGATAGCAATTGTCGTTGGGTAGGCAAAAGCTTCCAAAAGTAGATATTAGATCATCAATCTATAATTACAACAGGCAACAGAATTCGTCTGCTCAAAAAGAAAAATTATTGTGCTACTGTTTTGGATTTTCAGTTTGGTTGATTAAACTTTTGCATGTTACTTTATTTAGTGTGTGATTGTACTTGTGTTATTGTGATCAGCTAATAGTGCTACCCATAATGCTTTGTTTGCTGACAACAAGCTGTATCAAATGCACACTTGTTCAAGTTTATTGGTTCTCAGTCTAATCCAGGAGAGAATTGAAGGGAAGTTGAAGCCAATTGCTTAGATTTCATTTTTGTTTTATGAAAGCCCGTTGTGTCAAAATGATGTGCTAAACATGCAAGATATAATACTGCCATATATACCTAACAATTTCTACAATGTCCCTTCCTATAGTTATCGCATGGTTGCAGTTCACTGCCACTGCCCCTTTCAGCAAAAAGAAAGATACACGTTTTCTACTCTTTTCTTCTGCAAACTAATTTTAAGGGAACTGAAATTTAGATGTTAAGTCAGCTTGGAGCAAATGATAATCAACTTTATTAAAATGAGCTCGAAGCTAATTATTGAAAGTGATTTCACTCCTTGCATGCATTCATTTCTCCTTTCCAATAATCCTTCATGCCTTGGTCCTAGAATTTTGAACTAATCTTGATCACGTCCTAGTAATCGCATTCTTGTTATCTCAGAATTAATTTACATCTCATGTGTGGTAGCCCAAATTCTTACAAATATAATGTCTCTTTGGAAACTAAAATTCAACCAAATACACGTGTGCAAGAAATTCATGCAGGTTCTGTAACGTTTGTATTGCATGCAAGAGTGCATTTGCAAATAGTAATAGTATTATTGCATAAAATGGTATTCAGTAGTTATTTAATTTTAATTTTGGATTTAATTATTTGTCATCGGAAAAGTTTACAAACTTCACTCAGACAACTGATCTTTCTGTCAAAAACAATGTAAAGCATGTGTTTCTTCCACATAGAGGTAACTCCAGCTAATAAGACACCCGTTTTCTTGATGGGCGAATAGGCACCACAAAAACCCTGTCTGTCAGTGAGACGGGGGCCTCTTCACTAAAAGAGATTACAGGTGGTCCAGATGTCTCTAATCTGCGACTTTCCAGATAAAACCACAAAAGTTGAAAGAAGGATAGTCATCGTGCAGATACGTCTGCATCAACCAATACGTTGCCTTGCCGCCCAGCTGTGGGTTCTTCTGACTATTTCTGCGAAGGACGACACACTGTGCCTAGGCAGGGCTTTTTCAACACCCGAGTTTTTAATGAGCCTGGTCCACGTCAGCCCACAGCTAAAAGTTGACAGGCAGCTCGCGATAGCAAGTTTCTCTTCTCAAAACGTTTTATTATTATTACTCTTCTCAACACTTGATATCACCTGTTTCTCCCAAAACTCTCACTCGCGACCATCAATGTTCACTTTGTTAGCTCTTAGGATGAATGCAAAATTTTAAGTTTTACCAAAATAACAATAGTTATTATTTAATAAAAAATTAAAAATCATATTTTTTATTCATATACATATAATCAAAAGCGATTAAAGTACCTCTAAAGGTATTCTTAATTTTTCTTTTTTGTAAGATTTTTTTTAAAAAAATTATTATTAATAAATTTTGATGACCAATTTAAGTAACTACTCTTGCATGGATATACTAAAGGACTAGGATCTATTAGACTCAATATGTAGTTTAACAAGATTTATATATAAAATCCAAAAGAAGAACATGCATGGGATCTTTGGGATCCCTCTATTGTTATGAGCTCAACTCCATGTCATCATATGACTAATACTTTACCTGAAATTTCATTTAATCTAATTCTATCATTAGTTTCTTAACTTAGTTAATAAACTTTATTTACCCATTAATTGCAATAATGTCCATCAACACAATGAAATTGACCTTTGCATAGAAACAAAAATTATCAATGAGGTCCATTTCATTACAATCTTTATTAATTAATCCTTTCACCTAGAGGTGGAGCCTCCTTATAGCATGGCCCTCTTAAAATTTTAAACTTTTTTTACATATTACATAAAATTTTTTAAATTTTTTATAAATTTTCTTAACGGCCTCGCAAGATAATTTTATTTACTAATTAATACAAATAAAGAATAACAAAATAATTTTATATGCATGACTCAGTTTTGATTTTTAATATTTTGTTTCAATTTATATTATTATTTATATTAATTAATTTATTTTTATTTTATTTACTCATATGTTGTAAATCTTTTTAGATTTTCTTTCACAAATTTCTATGAATCATCAATCATATTCTTTTTTTTTCTTTTTTATTATGTCATATGTAAATTTTATCCTCTACTTGTCATGTTTTTCTTTTTTTTATTATATGAATTTTATTTTCTATGATTTTAATCTTTAAACATAAATAAATCATTATGTAATTTTTAAATATAAATTACACTATTGCACTATTGCACTTTTGCTTAGAATTTCATCAATATGCTAGTTTTTATTTAAAATAACCAATTCATTTTAGTATGTATGTTGCAAACTTTAAGTAACAAGGATATACATATAAATTGATAGAATGAAATAATTGTATTTCTTTCAATACAATTTTATTTATTATAAAAATTTTTATGGCTTTCAAAATATTTTTTGATTTAATAATTAGTTTCAATACAATTTTATTTATTATACTTTTTTTAATGGCTTTCAAAATAATTTTTATTTAATAATTAGTTTTATTTTTCAAACTGTTTGATAAAATTAGAGTCATTATGGTTAGCATATTACTAGTTAAGCCCAACAAATAAATTCTAAATTAATATGTTAAGCCTATCAAATTTTAAAAAAATAAAAGTCAGTATACTAATTTAAACCTATTAAGTTTTAATATAAATCTAACCTATCATAACATATTATATTTTAATGATCCAACCTAATAACCTATCCTAATATATTATATCTCAATATTTCAATCCAATGACTTAATATATTAATTAGCAATTTAACAGGTAAATAGAAAATAAGAGGAGAGCTAAAACATACAAAGTAATGAGACAATTTATTTGAATTTGAAAAATTATGTTTTCTTCCACTCTTGCTCGTAAGAGTGAGAGAGACTCTTTTTATAATTTCACTCGATTATATATATAAATGACACACATCATTACTGTTAATGTGCATTTTTTTTATGTTTAATATCTTTTGATTTTTTTTAATTTTTTAGATGAGTGATAACTGAATTATATAT